AGCAAGTGATTGACAGAGCTAAGCAATCCCACAATCAATGGATCAGATCTAAGCTCTGCAGTCCTGCCACATCCAGTCGTGAATGGTGGTGGACAATTAAACAACTCACTGGAAGAGGAGGCTCCACAAATATCCCCATCCTCAATGATGGAAGAGCCCAGCACATCAGTGCAAAAGATAAGGCTGAAGCATTCGCAGCAATCTTCAGCCAGAAGTGCCAAGCGGATGATCCATCTCGGCCTCCTCCAGTGGTCCCCAGCATTACAGATACCAATCTCCAGCCAATTCGATTCACTCCACGTGATATCAAGAAACGTTTGGAGATACTGGATATTGCAAAGGCTATGGGTCCTGACAACATTCTGGCAACAGTACTGAAGACTTGTGCTCCAGAACTTGCCGCTCCACCAGCCAAGCTGTTCCAGTTCAGTTATAACACTGGTATCTTCCTGACAATGTGGAAAATCGCCCAAGTATGTCCTGTACACAAAAAGCAGGACAAATCCAACCCGGCCAATTACCGCCCCATCAACCTACTCTCGATCATCAGTAAAGTGATGGAATGTGTCATCAACAGTGCTATCAAGCAGCACCTGCTCAGGAATAACCTGCTCAGTGACGCCCAGTTTGGGTTCTGCCGGGGCCACTCAGCTCCTGACCTCACTACAGCCTAGGTTCAAACATGAAAATAAAAGCTGAATTCCAGAGGTGAGGAGTGTTGTATAACACAGTGGGTAGCATTCAGGCTTGTCATATAACATGGTGAGCGACGGTGAGCATTATTATATAACTGAGTGTAGCATCAAAGAGCCCTAGCCAAACTGGAATCAATGGGTACCAGGAGCCAAATGCTCCAGTGGTTGGAGTCATACCTGACACATAGGAAGATGGTTGAGGTTGTGGAAGGCCAATCATCTCAGCTCCAGGATATCTCTGCAGGAGTTCCTCAGGGTAGTGCCCTCGGCCCAAACACCTTCAGCTGCTTCATCAATCACCTTCCCTCCAACATAAGGTCAGAATTGGGGATGTTCACTGATAATTGCACGATACTCAGTACCATCCCTCACTCTTCAGATACTGAAGCTGTCCATGTTCACATGCAACAAGATCTGGACAATATCCAGGTTTGGGCTGACTAGTAGCAAGTAACATTCATGGCACACAAATGCTAGGCTATGACCATCACCAGTAAGAGACAAACTAAACACCGTCCCTTGACATTCAACAGTGTTACCATCACTGAATCCCCCACTATCAACATCCTGGGGGTTATCATTGACCAGAAACTCAACTGGACTTACCACATAAACACAGTGGCTACAACGGCAGGAGAGAGGTTAGGAATACAGCAGGTAACTCGCCTCCTGACTCCCCAAAGCCTGTCCACCATCTACAAGGCGCAAGTCAGGAGTGTGATGGAATACTCCCCACTTGCCTGGATGAGTGCAGCCCCAACAACACTCAAGAAGCTTGACACCATCCAGGACAAAGCAGCCTGCTTGATTGGCACTAGATCCACAAGCATTCACTCTTTCCTCCACCAATGCCCAGTAACAGCAGTGTGTACTATCTACAAGATGCACTGCAGAAATTCACCAAAGATCCTCCGACAGCACCTTCCAAACCCACGACCACTTCCATCTAGAAGGACAAGGGCAGCAGAAAAATGGGAACATCACCACCTTCAAATACCCTCCAAGCCACTCACCATCCTGACTTGGAAATATATCACTATTCCTTCACTGTCACTGGGTCAAAATCCTGGAATTCCCTCCATAATGGCATTGTGGGTCAACCTACAGCATGTGGGCTGCAGTGGTTCAACAAGTTAGCTCACCATCACCTTCTCAAGGGCAACTAGGGATGGGCAAGAAATGCTGGCCAGCCAGCGACACCCACATCCAACAAAAAAATGCAATTGGCGTAAAGTGCATGGATCTACAAAGATATTTGATCAAGTGCCATTTAACTGAATGTCAGCAATTTGAAGCCATAGAGTCATAGAGATGTACAGCATGGAAACAGACCCTTCGTTCCAACTCGTCCATGCTGACCAGATATCCTAAATTAATCTAGTCACATTTTCCAGCATTTGACCCATATCCCTCTAAATCCTTCCTATCATATACCTATCCAGAAGTCTTTTAAATGTTGTAATTGAACCAGCCTCCACCATTTCCTCTGGCAGCTCATTTCATACCCTAAGGAGCAAAAGTAAGTGTCAACATGAATACAAAGTCAGGTGGGAGGCAGGAAACAGGAACAGTAGTTGTGAGCCGTGATCTTTCAGACAGGAAAGGATATGAGATGTGGCTTCCCAGAGGCTGATACAGGGAGTGCTCCATTTCTTGACATATGTAAATGGTCTAAACTTGAACATGCAGGTATCATTTCAGAGTTTGCAAAAGATGCAAAACTTTGAAATATTGTGAACTGGGAGTGGGAAAATGGATACATTCAGAGAATATGGACAGTCTGGTGGATTGAGAAAACACATGGCAGTTGAAACTTAATGTAGACGAGGTACAAATTATTGGGTGGAATTCTGAAGAGGATTCAAGAACACAGAGAACTGGGAGTTTTGTGCAAAGTAGTTGAAGTATAGTTGAAGATAACAGGGCAGATTGAAAACAGAGTGATGAAGCCATCAAGGATCCTACAAGCATAGAATACAAAAACAAGGATGTTATCATAAACTTTTCCAAACATTAGTTTAGCCTCAACTCGATCATTGCATTCAGTTCCAGGCAGCAAACCTTCAGAAGGATTTGAAGATTTCAGATAGGGTTCAGAAAGAGTTGACAAGAATTGTTCCAGGGATGAGTGACTTCACTCTCTAAGGTAAATTGGAAAAGGTGGTGCTGTTTTCGTGACAAGTGAACTTGGAGGGATATTATGCAGAAGTGCTCCAAACCATAAGGGGTCTACATAGAATGGATTGAAGAAAACTCTTCCTCATGGCATAGACTTGAGAACCAAGGGAAGATCCATTGGAAATGATTGGCAAAAGAACCCAGTAGCAAACTGGAGAAAGCCATTAATACGTAGTGAGTAGTTAGGATTTGGAACACATGGCCTGAGAGAGGACAGGAGAGAGGTCCCACTGGGACTTCCAAAAGGGAATGGGATAAGGACCAGACAAGGGAATGTGTTCAAAACACGAGGAAAGTGTGTGGGAATGAGACATTATTGAGGGGGCAGACAGTCCTCACTGTGACCCCTCACCTGTGACCCCCTGACCATCCTCACTGTGAACACTGCCCCCTCACTGTGCCCCCCTGACCCTCTCACTGTGACCCCCAAACCTGGCACTGTGACCCCTGACCCTCTCACTGCAACCCCCTCACCTGTGGCCCCCGACCCCTCACTGTGACCCCCTGACCCTCTCACTGTGACCTCCAAACCCGACACTGTGACCCCGACCCTCTCACTGTGAGCCCCTGACCCTCTTACTGTGACCTCCTGACCCTCTCACTCTAACCCCGCTGACTGTCCTCACTGCGAACCCCTAACCTCTTCACTGTGACCCTGACTGTCCTCACTGCAAACCCCTGACCTCTTCACTGTGACCCCTGACTGTCCTCACTGTGGCCCCCTGATGGTCCTCACTGTAATCCCCCCGACCATCCTCACTGTGACCCCCGACCCCCTCACTGTGATCCCCGACCCCCCTCCCTGTGACCCCGACCCTCTCACTTTGACCCCCTGACCAACCTCACTGTGACTCCCCTGACCATCCTCACTGTGACCTCCTGACCCCCTCACTGTGATCTTCTGACCCTCTCACTGTGACCCCTGACCCTCTCACTGTGACCCCCCGGCTATCCTCACTGTGACCTTCTGACCCTTTCATTGTGACCCCCGACCAACCTCACTGTGACCCCGCCCCCCAAACATCCTCACTGTTAGTCCCTAATCACTTTGTGATGGCCTTGTGAGCCACTCTGACACTATTTAAACTCGGTCGTAGAAGTTTGATTTATCCATGACATATCATGCACATAAACAACATGATTTTTCTGGTTCTTTGGCTGATTTTAGGTGAATTGAGATAAAATACCCAGCAATGGAGAGAAAGCTCCAGTAGCTGGAGCTAACCCTGTCCTCACTGTGGGGAGGTAAGAACACCAGCCAGGACTGTCTCACACTGTGACACACTCCAGCTGTGAGCAGGATTTGTGACCCTTCCTCCCTTAGCTTCAGACAATTGCATCGTCTTCTCATTAAGCTTCTACTTCATCTGGCAAGCTCTGTCTAGGAGTTGTATCAGATTCTGAACATGGCCCATGTTGGCTTCTTCCATGTGTCTCCACATGCATATACTCGCAGATCATCCATAAGAGCTTCCACTTAGGAAAGTCCACTCAAGATCTCACGCTGTCTGCATTGATACTCAACTGGAGCAGTGGAAATTCCAAATCATATGTGCACCCATCTGTACTCCCCAAACAGCCTCTAGAATGTACTTAGAAAACTTTCTTTCATCTACCTTTTCTTGCCACTAGCCATTCTTCTCATTGAGGGTAGTAAAGTACTTTGCCATGGAATGCTGCAGCAAAATTAATTCTATGGTTAGCAAGGTCCCTTCAAAGTTTTTTTCCACATTCTTTGGATCTGTAAATACTCAGGTTTTCCAGATTTTTTTTTTCGCTGCTACCATGCTGCTAGTCCAGTCTGTAGAAGCTGTCACTTTCTTGATTATTTTCTTGTTTTCCAGCTACACTACCTTGTCTTTCTGGCTAGACTTGAGGATAGCTGGAAGTCTCATTAGCAGCTGTCGAATTTGCCTCATGTTATGTTCAGTTTCGTGATGATATTCACCAGGAAGCCCTCAAAGAGCTGCAAAAATATCTTTGGGATCCTGTTGCCATTGACAGGAATTTTTCAGGCCACTCCGAACATAGGATTAGTCCCAGGGGACTAGAGGATTGCAGATGTGACAGCATTGTCTAAGAAATGGAATGAAGGGTAACCCAGGTAACTACTGAGCTGTCGGCATGATGTCGATAGTGGGAGAACTGATGGAGGCGATAATACAAGATAAGGTAAATATACACTTAGATTAATACGAGACAGTCAATGTGACTTTGCCAAGGGCAGGTCATATCTGACAAGTTTGACTGAGTTCTTTGACAAAGTGACACAGGCAGTGGATGAGGAGATTGCTGTGGATATTGTATTTCTGGACTTTCAGAAAGCATTGATATGGTGCCATATGGCTGGTTGGTTGGCAAATTAGAATTATTTGAGATTGGTGGGTTTTTGACAGAATGGATTGGATGTTGGCGAAAAAGATAGGAAGCAGGGTAGGTATGGATGAGCATTTCACAGATTGGAGATGAGTTGAAAGTAGCCCTCCCCAGGGATTGGCGTCAGGGCCCTTGCTTTTTCTGATTTATATGAACAATTGAGGACAAAATCTCTAAATTTGCAGGTAATGCTAAGCTAAGGAGAGTAGTGAATTGTGAGGATGACGTGCTGAGCAACTTCAGAGAGCCATCGACAAGTTCACCTGCATAATTCCATGAGGGTGGCCAGGCAAGCTGAAACAGTTGTTAAGAAGGTGTACAGGATCCTTGGGTTTATAAATAGAGGCACAGCATATTAAAGCAAGGAAATGGTGCTACACCTCCACAAATCATTGGTCAGACCATTTGTGGAGTATTGTGTTCAGTCCTGGGCATCTTATTTAAGGAAGAATGTTAAAACTGAGGAAAGAGTGAAAAGGAGATTTATTAGAATGATACCAGGAATGAGGGATTTTAGATGCAAGGAAAGATTAGAGAGATTGGGTTTATTATTCTTGGAGCAAAGAAGATCAAGAGGTGATGTTATTGAAGTATTCAAAATTGTGACCAATTTTGACAGGGTAAAGAAGGCTATTCCGTTTGCACTAGTTGGCAGGTCAGTAACTAGGGGACACAATTTCAAGATGATCAGCAAAAGAACTAGGAGTGAGATGAGGTGAAGCTTCTTTACTTGGGGCGGCACGGTGGCTCAGTGGTTAGCACTGCAGCCTCACAGCGCCAAGGACCCGAGTTTGATTCCAGCCTCGGGCAACTGTCTGTGTGGAGTTTGCACGTTCTCCCCGTGTCTGTGTGGGTTTCCTCCGGGTGCTCCGGTTTCCTCCCACAGTCCAAAGATGTGCAGGCTAGGTTGATTGGCCATGCTAAATTTCCCGTAGTGTTCAGGAGTGTGTGGGTTATAGGGGGATGGGTCTGGGTGGGATGCTCCAAGGGTCGTTGTGGACTTGTTGGGCCAAAGGGGCTGTTTCCACACTGTAGGGATTCTGGGATTCTATGATTCTATGATACTCAGAGAGCTGTTAGGATTTAGAATGTGCTGCCTGGGAGAATGGGGGAGGCAGATTCCAGAGGAGGTTTCAAAAGACAGCTGGATGTATATTTGAAAGTGATGAATTTGGAGGGACACAGTTAGTGCTGGAGAATGGGACTAGCTGGATAGCTATTTCAGGAGCCAGTACAGAGCCAATGGGTCAACTGGCCTCCTTCTGCACTGTGTGCCACTCCCTCAGTCTGCAAATCTCATCAGCCCAAGCTTCAGACTTGCTTTAACTGAGATAAGGTGAGAGGGAAAAGCTATAGAAGGGACCTGAGGGGCAACATTTTCACGCAGAGGGTGGTGTGTGTATGGAATGAGCTGCCAGAGGAGATGGTGGAGGCTGATACAATTACAACATTTAAAAGGCACCTGGATGGGTGCATGAATAGGAAGGGTTTAGAGAGATATGGGTGAAATGCTGGCGAATGGGATTAGATTAAGTTAGAATACCTCGTCAGCATGAACAATTTGGACTGAAGGGTTTGCTTCCGTGATGTACAACTCTATGACTCTATGACTCTTAGTGGACTTTGATTAACATCTACTATCTGGAACTTCAGATCATCCTTCTTACTATTGCATTGGACTCTCAGCTTTGATTTTCCTCTAGGGATAAATGTTATTCCACTTTATAGATTGGCTGATCAACTTACCTTGGAGAGCTCCAATTTTACATCACCACCTTGGCCCACTTCACAAAGATATGGGCAAGTTATGATGTTGCATGAAACACCACTGTCTATCTGACGTTTACATTCACTCAATGCTTTCCTGCAGTCATCGTTCTAATAATCACATACCATTTCTCACCTTCAGACCTGATGGTGCCAAGTTTTATGGCTTTCTAAGCTTGATCTGCTTCATTCTAGCTATGATGTAGAGGTGCCTGTATTGGACTGGGGTGGACAAGGTCATAAATCAGACCACACCAGGTTATAGTCCAACAGGTTTATTCAAAAACACAAGCTTTTGGAATCAGGTAAAATGATGAAGGGGCAATGCTCCAAAAGCCTGTGATTTCAAATAAACCTGTTGGACTATAATCTGGTAACATCTTATTTCTGACCTCATTCTAGCTAAACACTTGAGTACAAAGTGACTCAGTTTCTTGCAGTTGGAACACTGCTTTCCCAACCCTGAACATATTTTGTTTTCTTTCGTATCATGCCCTCCTCAATACATACATCCTGTTCTCTGGCCTTGATCTTTGTGCTGATTCTTCTGTAAATATTTCTTGCATTTTCCCTATCTGTCATTGTCATTTGGCCTGGAATGCCTCTATACATAATGCAAAGCATCATTTATTTTTGCATCAAAAGTTCTAGTTTATGATTGTCAGACCATGTCAACACCTACCTTCAGAGTACATTTCTCCTCTCTCAGCTGATGTGGTCCTACAGGGGTGTCCCTTATGCTAAAGGATATCCTATCTCTGATAAGGTATTTACTCCATTATTCTACCTCACAGAGTTCAGCCTGATGTATCAATATGGTCATGTACTGATTAATAGTCTCTCTTTTTCCCTGAACTTTGAAATCAAACATAAGCTGATCATAAGTAATATTAACATGGGATTCAAAATGTATGACCAAAACCTTCAAAAACTCTGCAATCCGATTTTTCTGTTCCTGAGTGACTCCACGGCTGCAATGCATCTTGTAGCCCTCGTTTTCCCAGGACTGATAACAAGGTTCTAAGCTTACTTGTTCAGGTTGTAGTTTTGGCACAGAATGTGGAAAATATTCTGGTCCTGTCTCATATTTTCTTTCATTTCCATAGCAGCAGAGAGTGGAAAATGCACAGCTGTTTTGACTCACCAAGTACTTTAAAGTTGTAGGTTGCCTTTTTTTTTAAATTAACTTTTGTAGTGATTGTAACAAAGTCCATCCAGCTGGACCTCATAAAATGTGAGTTCCCTGATCGGAGTTGTTAATCTAATCCAAGCAGGGAGCCCTGGCAGAGATACTGACACTGTAGTGCCTGACTGTTCATTTGTAAATGAAGGGTGATTTGATAATGGGATACTATCCTCTGTAGAGTTACTTCAAATTTCTTGCTGTTTCTTTTAGTAGCTGGCTCTCTTACACCTCCGAATATCCACATGTATTCAATTGGACTTTCCTTGCTGACGTTTTCAATGCCAATAGCTCTCTTACAGCACTAAGAAAACAAAGGTTTTAAGCTGTACCTTTTCTGACACCAGCTGATATCTGACTTGGGCCGTAGATTGCGCTAATACACACTAACAACAGAAGCAAAGGTCACATGACTAAGCCAAAGAGCCAGTACACAATGTACAATTGCATTTCTCTGACTGAATATCCTGTCATACTCACTCTCCAATATCCTGCCACTTTAACGCTCGAGTAACTTGTCTCTCTCACTCTCCAGTAACTTGCTATTCCGTGAATCTGTTTCAGTATCTTTACTGTGTAACTCAGGAAGACTGTTACAGCTGTTACAGTACTGTTAGTCTGTAAGTTACAGAGTATTTTGCAGTATTGTTACTTCATAGCTCACTGAATCTGTCTGCCCACCTCATTTTTCAATAGTCTACTACTCTGTGAACCTGTTACAGAACTGTTACTCTGTAAGTTAATGAGTCTGCTACAGGACTGTTACTCTAAGTTGATAAATTTGTTACTGTACTGTTATTTAGTCTTTTACTGTACTGTTACCCCAGAACTCAGTATCTAATCCCTCCATAATACAGTAAGTTTGTTATTTTTCTGTTATCCAGTGTATAACTTGATGATTTGTGACTGCTTCCAACATCTCTAAGAGACTGTGCCCTATAACTGACCAGTCCTTGTATCTAACAGCCTCTCAAAGCATCCTGTCTCCTTAACCTGGTCACTCCTTCTAATTGACCATCTCATTTAACTGACGGTCTCCACTAACAGACCACTCACAGTATCTAAACTTAACCTCTAACTGACCTCCCCCTCTAACTGATCACCCTCTAACTGACCACCCCCTCTAACTGACCAATCCCTCTAACTGACCACCTCCTCTAACTGACCAATCCCTCTAACTGACCACCTCCTCTAACTGACCTCCCCTTCTAACTGACCACCCCCTCTACTGACCTCCCCCTCTAACTGCCCTCTCCCTCTAACTGACCACCGCCTCTAACTGACCACCCCCTCTAACTGACCGCCCTCTCTAACTGACCACCCCCTCTAACTGACCGCCCCCTCTAACTACCCTCCCCCTCTAACTGACCTCCCTCTCTAACTGACCACCCCCTCTAACTGACCTCGCTATCTAACTGACCACCTTCTCTAACTGACCTCCCTCTCTAACTGACCTCCCTCTCTAACTGACCACCCCCTCTAACTGACCACCCTCTCTAAATGACTACCTTCTCTAACTGACCGCCCTCTCTAACTGACCTCGCTATCTAACTGACC